AGTCGTTCAACGAGATGGGCGGTGACAAATTCGATATATAAATATATATATATAAATAAAACAGAGGCAGCTCTTTTTCCAAATGTCTTGCTGCTTCAAATAAAGAAGGGAAGGGATCGTGAACTTTTATTAGAGGCTTTCACTGGTTTTAAAATGAGGCCGATTTTAAGGGGCTGTCTAGTACAGTGTTTTTCAGTAGTGCAGTGGGAATAATTTGGGCAGTGGGAATAATTTGAGAATTTCTTTAGCAACTCCTATATGGAACAACTAAAAGACTGTCAGATTAATTCAGTACAGTATAATCTAAAAGTGTTTTTCATCCTTGGCCACTTTAAGATGTGTGGACCTCAACTCCCAGAATTCCATGCTGGGTAGGGAATTCTGGGAGTTGAAGTCCACGCGTCTTAAAGTGGCCAAGGTTGAGAAACCCTGCCTTAGCAGAAGAGCAGCTTAGAAAGGTTCTAGAAGCAGCTAGCCCACCCTTTTTTTTTTTTTTTTGAACCATTTGGAATCCTAAATTATGTTGGAGGAGTTCTGGTCTGGAGCTTTTGAATGACTTGACCTGGGGATATATGTTTTGAGAACTTACTTCTTTTCATTTTGCCCTGTTGTACGCTAAGCTGTTTTTCCATCTGACTGCATTGTTTTCAGTTTCAACATCCCACGTGCAAAGCGAGAACTGGGACAGCTGAACAAGTGCACCTCTCCACAACAGAAGCTTCTCTGCTTGCGCAAAGTGGTGCAAATCATCATGCAATCTCCAAGTCAAAGAGGTCCGTCACTGGGAGAGGATGTCATTGTTTCAAGAAGTTGCTTCTCTGTGTTCTTGAAAGCGTCCTCCATGAGCTTTTAAATCAGGGTCCAGATTTTACTTTGCATTACTTTGGAAAATGGGAGGCCTAGCATAACCCCTGCATGCAGGTCTCTTTTTCCTGTGTGGAGAAATGCAGTGTAAGAGCTGGAATGAAAAATACAATTCATTTGTAATACTTGAATCCCTGGACTTTGCATTCAAGTCCTCTTAATCCTTAGCACGACAGTGCTGGTTTGAAAAAAATGGGAAGGGCGAAGGAATCTGAATGTTATGCTGATTTCCAGATTACAAGTCTTCAAAAAGCTTGAAATGATACTATTTTAGAAAAACTGACAGGTGTGTAGTTAATGTGTACAGAGTCTTTTACAGTCTTTTATTTTATTTTTATTTATTTACCAAATTTTTCAACCGCCCATCTCCCCCCAATGGGGGAACTCTGGGCAATTCACAACAAACAT